CGGCACCGCCTGAGCCTCAAGCCTTAACCCCACCCGACGACGATATACAATCGAGCCAAGCCACCTCGCAACAGCAGCAGCAACAACAACAACAGCAACAGCAGCAGACGCAACAGCAAGTGCAACAGCAGCAGCAGCAGCAGCAACAGCAGCAGCAGCAACAACAACAGCAGCAGCAGCAGGTTCAGCAGCAGCAGCAACAGCAACAGCAACAACAGCAGACGCAGCAGCAGGATCATTCGCCTCAGCAACAACTGACGCCGCACGAAGTGGACCGCGCGGACTGTTTCCCTGGCGCCGGGGAGCTGCAGCAGTACCCGCAGCACTATTTCAAAGAGGCGAGGCCGCATCCGTCGCCATCGGTGCCCCCGCACATGCTCACGCCCGGCGGCTTTTCCGCGTTGCACTATCTGAAGCAACCGGGCGTGATGCTGACGTCCCTCGGGCAAGGGGACGGCGGGCCCAGCCTGGATCCGCATCAGTACGCGAGCCCCGGGGCACCGAACATGACCACCGGTCTGCCCGATATCGTTCAGCAGAGCGGCAAGTCGGGCAAGGGGGCGAACAGCGATCTACGTTTGTTCAAGTGTCTGACGTGTGGGAAAGACTTTAAACAGAAGTCGACGTTGCTGCAACACGAGCGGATCCACACGGACAGTCGGCCGTACGGGTGTCCAGAGTGCGGGAAGCGGTTCAGGCAACAATCGCATCTAACGCAGCACCTTCGCATACACGCGAACGAGAAGCCGTACGCTTGCGTGTACTGCGAGCGTACGTTCCGGCAGCGTGCCATCCTCAACCAGCATCTGCGCATCCACTCGGGTGAGAAGCCATACCAATGTCCGGAGTGCGGAAAACACTTCCGTCAGAAGGCGATCCTGAATCAGCACGTCCGCACACACCAAGGCGAGCATTTCTCTCTGCCTCCCAGACTCCCAGAGGGCGTCCACCACAACCACACATGACCCATTCACCGGTTCTTTACCGTTACCGTCACCGTCGTCGACACCATCGTCATCTCTTTCATCGTCGTCATTGCATAGATATACGTATAGAATAACGCGTTCGATCATCGTCATCCTCTCTCGTCGCATATCATCGTCTATCATCCATTCGTCATTCGTTTTCTTCGTTCGACGACCATCATTTTCAACTAACTAACCGATCCCTCTCTTCTTTGCGTTCTATCGTTCGGCTCTTTTCTCCCTGCTTATCGTTCCTCCGCTCCCAGTTCCGCTGCCTCCTCTCTCTCTCTCTCTCTTTCTCTCGGTTCCTGCGATAGCGTTGGAACCGATACCGTACCGATATCGTCGACCTCGATACATCGAACGTATCGGTTACGACGAAGCAGGTACAGATCGAAGGAACGTCGATACGGCGATCGCGAGCGTTTGTTCGTTTCGAACGAATCAATCGCGCGATCTTACGCGCGAATTCGTTGAAAATCGATCAAAGCATCTGGTTGGGTTCCAAGGCCAACCGGCGAGAGTGCCGGTGAGCCGTGAGACGCAGCAACCTCCCTCTCTCCGGCGTCCCGCATCCTCGACCCGATCTGACCCGTCTACCCGTTCCGCCCTCTTCGTTCGATTCGACCACGATACTTAACGCAACGTAACATCGCATCTACTTTTAACGCCACCTAACTTCCAGCTAACTTCCCTACTAAACGCATCCTATCGCGAAGGTGGAGGAGGTGGATCTCGGACCTGGTTAGCCCTAATCGGTCAACGACCGTAAGTCTCGCGTTGCTTCATTAACTTCCCTAGATCGCGACTACCGTTCGATTCGAGAACAAAAGCGAAAGGAGAACGGCTTGTTTGGGTACGGGGGTGCATTCGCCGCGTGTACATCCGGCCGCGACGTAGGCTTCCCTTCGCGACAACCACGAATCTCTCGATTTTTCGAACAATCGCGGACCGATCGGATCGTTCGACCGCGGGAAGCCTACCGCGCTCGCCGCTGTACGTTCTCGCGTTGCTTGTCGAGATTTTTCCTAGCCGTAGTTGATCCGTTTGGCAGGCGCGTGGTACCGTAGTCCGGGCAACTAACAAGATATTCCTCCGCTACCAGAATCCGATGGTAGGCCGAGGATGAACAGTTCCACGTGTTTTGTTGCAGACGTGAGCCCGCATCTGATCTTCAAGAACGGGATGACGCCGACGCTCTGGCCGCAGGACGTGCCGTTTCCGCCCGAGGAGGGCAAAGAGGAAGTGGCGTCGACGTTCGGCGACACGGACACCCAATCGGGCGCGTTCAGCCCGGCCCCGGACGCTAATTCCATCCAGTATCCCGCGTACTTCAAGGACCCGAAGGGCGGTAATCACGCGGTGTTCGGTCCCGGGGGCACGGGCAGCTTCGGCGCCCTTCAGTACATCAAGCAACAGGGCGGCACCAAGAGCTGTTTACCGGACGTGATACAACACGGTCGCTCGGCGGGGATGCCGTTGTACGTCCGATGTCCGATCTGTCAGAAGGAGTTCAAGCAAAAGTCGACGTTGTTGCAGCACGGTTGCATACACATCGAGTCGAGACCGTACCCCTGTCCGGAATGCGGCAAGAGGTTCAGGCAACAGTCGCATCTGACCCAGCACCTCCGCATCCACACGAACGAAAAGCCGTACGGCTGCGTGTACTGCGGACGCAATTTCCGCCAACGTACCATCCTGAACCAGCATCTGCGCATCCACACGGGCGAGAAACCGTACAAGTGTCAACAGTGCGGCAAAGATTTCCGTCAGAAGGCGATACTGGACCAGCACACGCGCACCCATCAAGGCGACCGACCGTTTTGCTGCCCCATGCCCAACTGCAGGCGGCGATTCGCCACCGAGCCCGAGGTGAAGAAGCACATCGACAACCACATGAACCCGCACGCGGCCAAAGTGCGCAGGAATTCGAGCAGCGACTCGAAACCGCCCGGCACGCCNNGGCTGGGCCCGGTGCCGGTCCCTAGGGGTCTCACGCCGACGGTCGTCAAGCCGGAGCTCTACTTCCCGCAGTGTTACGCGCCCGCGTTCAATCATCAGCCCCCGGTATCGACGGCGCAGTTCCCGGCCCAAGCGAACGGAGTGACCGTCGCCGGCGAGTTCAAACCACCGACTGGTCTGCCGCCGCAGTGACTAACCGTCCATCCTGCCGCCTACTAGCAAGCAGGAATACCGCTGAGGTTTCAGCGATGCTTCGGTCACGCGTTACAGACCGACGCTACGTCGGCAG